ATGTATCATATAATCACATAAATTTCAGCATAAGGGTATTTTGGACAAATAACCGTATTTAAAAATGAAAATTTCATATTTTAAGAAATCATAAATTTTCATAATTTTAAAATCTGAATTTTTTATTTTAATTTTAATTTCAACTTAATTTTGAATAATATCCGAATTTATTCTGTCAGAATAGCCAAATGTCAACCATAAATTAGTAAAGATATTACTGATTTCAGTTTTACAAAATTGCATTCAACATGTTTTTAGAACATGTTTAAAGATTTGTACAATACATTATCAAGAATAATATTTTTATATGAAACATGTTTTATTCATTAAAAATTACTAATTACTTAATTCTACAAAATAAGACTATAAACAACAATTACATTCATTCTGGAAAAAAAAATGACTATAATGGTTACAAATTACATTCGTTCTTTAAAGTTAAAACTAAAATGATTAAAAAGGAAAAAAAATCCAAAAACATTAATCAATTTTAAAAGAATATTATTGTTAAGAATCACTTTATACATACTAACAGAATACATCTGCTAGAATACACTCTTGTTCGCTCCATATTTTCTTCTTTTTCCACATCAATGACAACGTCTTAAAAAACTGAAAGCCATAAAGAAAAATCATTAGTTTGAACAATGATCTGTGCAACTTTAAAATAAAAAATAAAAGTAAATTGAGATTAAATCACTTTTGGTAATGCACACTTATCTACTAAAAAGTCTTCCAACATATAAATAGCAAAATTCTGTTAAAATGCAACAGTAAAATTCTATTAGAATACATTATCAACATATAAATACTAAAATTTTATCAGAATAAACATAGGAATGTTTTGATTTTGACTAAATTGATGGAGGTAGATATTTGGTACTACTCATTTCTTGAAACTCATTTGGTTTAAAGATTTTTCATTAATTTGATGAAAGTAACCATTAAAGGGAAACAGAAAGCTATTACTACATAAACTCGCAGGTTTGTTTTATTGAAGAAAATCACGCAAAAACTTCAATCGATCATTACTGATTACAGGAACCTATTAACTATATATATACTAAACAAAACTAATTAGGATTCCTAAACAAACTAATATTTCCTTATAACTCTAAGTAGTTCTAGAATAACTTGGACAACACACCAAGGCTTGGACAACACTCCAAGTAAATAGATGATATGGATAGAATATGCATACACCACATCGGTCTCATAAATTCGCCAACAATTTTGGTGTATCCAACATGTGGTCAAAATTAATCTTGATCTCATTAAGTTCGATAAGCCAAAGCCAGAGTAACTTTCTGGGTTGTTCACTACTTTTTACATCAAAACTATTGGGATGATTAGTTTAATTAAGCCTTTAAGGTATCAACCCATGCCTACTTTATCTTTTTAGAATTTTTTTAGAGCAAATCATAATTTTTATTATGATTAGTATGACATTATGTCGAACCTCACTGTTTGTGCTCATATTATACTCTTGCTTAAGTACTATTTAGTACCTCTCCCGAGAGGATTGATATTGATGGTTACGTTTTTTTAGTGTTAGTTGTAGCGAATAGCATTTCATTTTCTGGTATATTGTAATGTTTTGTGTTAGGTCGATATACCAAGATTGAAGCAATTGAGGAAGGTTTCTTCGACTTTCTATTTTTACAGCCCCACTTAAAGAAATATATGCACATTTCTCTTTTTATACCTCTCAAGAATATGTATATATCTGTTACATATATCTATTGTGTGACATTGAAAATCTTCTCTATGGTTTGCGAGGATCCAAATATATAACCTCTCTTGCTGAATGTTTTATAAATGGTCTTCAAAGTACTGGTATAAGCTAATTACACTGCACATTAGAGACTAAACAATTGGTTTTTTTACTCGTAGGCTGGTATAATGCAAATTGTAGGAATTTAGCTTTGTTGCTTTGTTGATAAATTCAAGTCAAGGTACAATAACGTCACTTGATAGCAATTTATCACTAACTTCTATTTAAGTTAATTTACTATTATTAACAATAAATATTATATCCATTGCAAATAGTAAATGTCTCTTAGAAATGGGACATGAAGCATCCATCAAAGATAATTAAAGGTAATTATTGCTTTTATTGCTTGTGTAGATAATTTATAAAAGGCAATGTATTTCAACATTGGTCAATGGTTTTTACCATCATTTAACTTAATTGAAGGGTAACCTTTTTTCCCTTTAGACTGAATTTATTTATATATGCATTGATTTTGAATTTAATTGTTGACCTATGGTTAATATCTTTACTTTTTAAAAATGTTTTTGGGAGGTGGGAAAAGAGAAATGATCATATGGTTTATCTCCTAAGTCTTAAATATGTACTGGCTGTTCATATGAACTAATATGAGAAAGAAGATATTATGGTGCTAAAAATAAATATATGACGGTGCGAGAGCGGGTATTATTATTATTATTATTATTATTATTATGCGATATACAGTTTAATGTTTGTGTTTATGTAGGCAAATGATGTAATTACCGGATGGAATGGGTTGAGTTAGAATTTGAAAAAATATGAAGATGGAAGATGATATATTTCTTGATTTTTTAGAACTTTCATCTACGAAATTTGCATATAGAGATTATGTTATTAGTTATTTATTGAACTATTTAGAATATTATAATTATGGATGATACAAATAAAAAAATCCAACTAACAATAATACTGTTTAAATATTTATTGAAAGTACTTTTGTAAACTAACCGAAAAAACTAAAGATTTTATCGAACCGTGTAACCAATCATCGAAAAAATCATAAAGACAAATTTGATAAGCCAAAAATAGATATGATTATAGGTTTCATTTATGTTGAATATTTTTGAACATATATTCCAAATCTCTTAACCAATATTCACCACTGGTACGTACATTAAGTCCCTACCGAATAGAATTTATAGTCTTTTTTAGTTATTATAATTCGAAGATTAAAATTTCACGAAGTTGTTATTAAAAATCTTAATAAGTTTTAGACAAAATTACATAATTGGTCATGTGGTTGCCCAAATTCTTGGTTTTCATATATATATATATATATATATATATATATATATATATATATATATATATATATATATATATATATATATATATATATATATATATATATATATATATATATGTTTAGATTCATTTAAAACCATTTTAATTTTGTGAGACCGTAAGACCAAATCTAAAAATAATTTTAAAATGCAAAATAAATGGAAAAATCCAAAACTTCTTTTTTTAAATATTATTTTCGGAACTTGAATTAACTAAAAAGAAATTAAAAAAAAATTCCGTTTTTTTTTTAAAATAAGTGAAATATTCTAATAGAATATTACACTGACATATTCTAAAAAATAATTTTAAAATGCAGAATAAATGGAAAAATCTAAAAATTCTTTTTTTGAATATTATTTTCGGAACTTGAATTAACTAAAAAAACTATTAAAAATTTTAAAAAAAATAAAAATCAATTCCATTTTTTTTTAAAATACATGAAATATTCTGATAGAATATTACACTGACATATTGTAAAAAATAATTTTAAAATGCAAAATAAATGGAAAAATCCAAAAATTCTTTTTTTAAATATTAGTTTCGGAACTTGAATTAACTAAAAAAATAAAAAAAATGCGTCTCACTGTCTCACAAAATTAAACCGTCTCGCATTAACCTAACACTATATATATATATATATATATATATATATATATATATATATATATATATATATATATATATATATATTATATATATATATATATATATATATAAAAGATCCGTGGATAACTAAATTGAAAAAAAGTATTAGAAAACTTTTTATCTCCATGTAATTTGGACATCAAATTTAACAATATGAATATGTAAATCTGAACCATATTTTCGTTGGACTGAAAAAATTTTAATTTAATTTTTTTTTTAAATTCAGCAAAAATAAAACACATTTAAATTCAGGGCATTCATTTGCATAAGAATTAGAGAATATTTTCAATTGAACTTCAAATTCATTTTTTAAAATTGAACTTCAAATTTATCAGTCAAAGTGACATTTCAAAAATCAAAATAGTAACATTTCATCATTCGAATAACAACTAAGTTATACCTCATCAAAATCTCTAATTTAAAATAATAATATTTCATTTGTTGAATAACAACTAAATTTATGATCTCATTAAATTCTATTAAATTCTCCTAGGGAAGACCCATGCATTCAGGTGCTACGAATGAGATATTTTTAGACAACATATTTATAAAAAATCAACATATTTATAAAAAATCAACCTATAATTAACTATCTATAATTTTATCTACATCTATAATGTGATTCATAGCAGACGTTGAACTGCTAGCCATGTTCTTCCGACTGATGCGCTTCTTTCTGGGCTGTAAAATTTGTATCATACATGTTATTGAATGCTTAATAACACCGAAAGATGTTATGAAAAAACGAAGGGTTTGTTATTTGATGCTAGATATACTGATCAAAGGTTTCTTATACAAATTCCAAGTTTTCTCATGTAATGCAATCAAAGCAGGGAATTTTGCTATTTCAACTCTTGATTCCGCTATTCAACGTATAAAAAATTACCGCTTGCTAATGAACTGATAGTTAAGAAGATAACAGAAGAATTTACCTCGTCGTAATCCAAATCCAGATTTCAAATATATTCAACGTGTGGTAAAACAGGTCCTTCTACTTCATGTTTTGACACTTTACATCATTTAAACAAAATCTTTTCTCATTACTATGTAAGCCACTGATCATTGCATCTACGAAGCAGAATGTAAGAGGAATCATCTGCAATTACATGATCACATTGATTCAATTAAATAAGAATTAAACAGTTTTCACATCAGGGCAATGTAAGAAAGAAGAAGTTAATCACTGAGAAGAAAAACCATACCTTGAATTGGAGGCACCTGATGTCTCGCTCTCTCATGCATATAATTATGAACCCGTTCATAATGTTAAATCCAGGAATTACATTCCCATAGCATTAACACTTAACCCCTGTTTGGTATGTGGTACATAATCACATCAGGAAAGGAATTACATTCCCATTTTACCTTTTATTGCTACTTTAAATCAATTAAAATCATAACCAAATCGAGTAGAAGCAATCAAAATTTTGAAATCAAGTTTAATAGAAGAAATTCCTTGAGGTGTTCGTCATTTTTGGAGTTGAAGAGTTCAAGAACAATGTTAGGTTATATCAGTTGTAAGGTATGTAATCGTTTCTTTTCACATTGTCGTCATCATTTAATCACTTGCACAATTCCCTTTCTTCAACGAGTATGTGCATATTAAGTGTTCAATGAAATGTCTAAATGAAATGAATTCAAGGTAGCAGGGCCTGGTTTTCTTGTCTTATGTCTCCAAGTAATATGATTTGCCACTGAATATGATTATTTCTTAAATAAATCCATTCCGTAGGTGATTTTTATGTAAAAGAGTAAATTACACTAATGGCCCCTGTTGTTTTTTCATTGTGTGCTTTTTTCACTTGGAATGATTGTTGGTTTGGGCTGGAATCAAGTTAAAATAACTGTTTTATCCTTAATTACAACTATAATCCCTTATTTTTATATTATTTGTCATATTATTAAATAAAATACAAAGAACCTGGAAGGGGAAAGGGAAGGGTATGGGGTAGGGTGGGTGGGTGGTATGGGTCTTTGATTCTCTATTCTATTTAATAATATCACAAGTAACACAAAAAATAAATAAATAATTATCATTAACAGTAAATGATTATTTCAATTTATTCGGGATCAAAGCCAAAACAAATTCAAACCAAAGAACCATCTGATCTGATTAATAAAAAAGATTGATAAAAAGTAGTTAGCAACTAGAGGTGCATATTGGAATAAATTATAAAGACCATTCGTATAATTCACTTACTTAAAAAAGTTTCATATGTAGGGGAAATATGAAGAACAATAATCCACCGAATTGATTTATTTAAAAAAAAAAAAAATCATATTCAATAGAAATATGTAGGTAAATCATCAATGGAATACCCATGAAATAAATTTACATAATATGCAACAATAATATAATATAACAGAAACAACAGAAAGTAAATTGCTATTTACGATAATAGGTTACCTAGATCGATAAGATGTTATCAAAATAATTTATGTATTTGGTAAACAAATTGAATGAATAGTCTTCAGAAATCGGTAATGTTATCTAAACATGTGAATTAATCACCAAAATGGTAGTTGTATTGTAGCAATGAAAATACATTACCTAAATAGATAAAAGTTTCAAGTTAGTTATTGAATTAGGTTGATATCCAATGGAACTAAAAGATGTAATTAAAACAACCTAAAATTAGTAATCGTGTTATACATGACAAGTATTTTCCTTATGGTGCAGGAAATGATCGTTATTTCATTAATTCATCTAATTGTCCAGACCACTTTTATCTCTTTCTTCTCATTCAATTCTAAAACCAAGAATATTATCATATTTCTATCCCGCATGATCGACCACCATCAGATTGTATACATATATACTTCTTTTTTAACATCAATAGGTTTGATATTTCTTCTGAAGATAATTCAAAAAATATTCTTTTATTATGTTATTATTACAAGACCCATATTAAAAAAAACACAGGGTTCAAATTCTTTTCACCCATCCTTTAGATACGTATAAACATAAATTACTGTATAACTCCGTAAACATGATATACTCTACCTATCAACATCTAGAATCTAAACATATCTCTCTTCATTGTCTCCAACCAAACCCAAAAAATCAAGACCTCAGCCCTACAAACAAAATACAGGCGATGCCATAGAGATGGAGTGAGATTGGCGATAGCGTTTTACCATTTTCTTGGTGGAGATCTCAAGTTGTTTAATATCATCTATGTATATTTGCCTACTCCTGCACTCTTCGCTACAGAAACTTTGATCCCCTCTGCATATAGATTGATTTAAGATGATTATACACATGATTATTGGAATAAGTTAAAGGATGGTATTGAATATTGATTAGCGAAGTATTAAATGATTACCTGTACATATAAACGTCTTTATTAAAGGAAATACGTTTGTGGCAAAGAAAGCAAGATTTGATGAAACAAGAACCAGAAGAAGGAATTTGATTCCTTTGGAAAATGGGTTTGGAATGATTGAGTTGAGGGGTGTTAGTAGTAAGAATCTTCAACCCAACAGCTTTTGAGTCCATGGAAGCTATCTTGGTGGTCGCATGAGTTTCATCCACTTTGAATAATGAACCCATGGCCATGGAGATCATTCTATTTCAATTTTCTCTTCTGGTTTGTTTAGTTCAGAGGAGAGATATGAGTGGATCGATCGAGGATATTTAAAGAGATACACAACAGTGAGTTATTGGCTCAATTTAACCATTATAAAAATCATATCAAAAAAGGGAGAGCATGTTTACCATATGTTTCCTTTCTTTTTGTCGTTAAATGCATCTCACTTCCCTGCCTTAATTTCGTCAAACAGTGTTTTGGCAGTCTTTGACGTCTTTAACCTTGTTAGAGAAACCTTGTTACTTTTTCGGAAAGAAAGTATATGGAGTTGAGAATGCTTTTTGTTGATAATAATTTACGTTTTTATTTTTTGGTAATAGTTATATAAATTTAGTAATAGTTACATGGTAGTTAATTTCACAAAGAATCGTATAAGCGATTGTTGAATTACATTTTACTAGGAAAAACTTGTTAAAAAAGTGATAGTATTGTATTAATTTAGGATCCTTAAAAACCTCAATATAGTAATATTATTGGGTGTAAAACTTTGGGAATTTAATGATATTTGGAAAGGCTTTCGGATTGATGCATGTGTGTGTGGGGACTGTAGGTTTGGTTGACAAAAACTCGGAGTGGGCCTTTTTATATTCGTTTCCATGGACATATAATATGTTTACACAATCAAAACGTGCAAGTCGTGAGTGACATATAAATATATTTTTAAATCATCAGTTTATTAATAAAAAGAGTATGATATATGATTAAAATTGGAAAGTTAAGTTTACCATTATTCAACTACTTTGCATATAATAAACACAAGTGCCAACTCAACCATAGATAGATTCAACTCATTTATTTATATATATATATATATATATATATATATATATATATATATATATATATATATATATATATATATATATATATATATATATATATGGTAAGGTTCAATAGACAATCATAATTAAAATCAAAGAACCAATCGTGAGCATCAGAATTCATAACGATCAACGGCCAAGAAAATAGATGTATACTTTTACATTGGACGGACACACACCGGATTATACCAAAAAACCCACCCTCTACAAAAGATCCATCACTTTTTTTCGTTTAAAATTTTTTTTAGGCCATGTCTTTTATCAAAAAAAAAAAAAAAAAAAAAAAACAAATATACCATTGTTCACGATTTTTCGTCATCTTTCCATAAAGATCCATGATAATATATAAAAAACGAATTTTTTTTTCGAAAAAAACCACTTCATTTTCTTTAATGAAAAAAGTTAAGGTCTATTTTTTATAGAAAAAAATTAATAAATATATCAAAATTCATATTTTTTTAACTTTTTAAACATAGATTCATATTCATATTTAAAAAAAAAAACGATATTCAAGTTCAGATTCACATTGTGAACTTGTTCAGATTCATATTGTAAACCTGTACAGATTCACATTATGAACCTCCTCAAATTCACAGTGTGTATAATAATAAATCAGATTTACAGTGTGAATCTGAACTGATCGGAGCTTTTTCACATTGTGAATGTTAAAATTTAAAATATTTACAATTTAGATTCACAATGTGAATCTACATTGATCGAGTTTTTTTTTTTTTTTTGAACCTTCTCAGATTCACAATGTGAATCTGAACTGTTCGAGATTTTTCATATTGTGAATGTTAAAAATTGAAATATTTACAGTTTAGATGTACAGTGTGAATCTACATTGTTCGATGTTTTTTTTAATCGGTGTTGATGTTTATTAATAGAGTACAAAAAATTAATAATTTTGGTATAATTAGTTTTTTTTATATAATAAAAGCTTAAATATTGAAAAAAAAAATAAGAAAATTAAGTGGGTTTTTTTCGGAAAAAAAAAAGTTCGTTTTTTATATATATCATCATAGATTTCTATGGAAAGAGGACCAAAATATCGTGAACAACGGTATATTCGGATTTTTTTTTCGATAAAAAACTTGGACTAAAAAAAATTTAAATGAAAAAAATGAAGTGGGTTTTGTTATAATCCGATACATGTACGTCCATTATAAAAATTTACAACTCTTCCTTTTGCTGTTGATCGCTTTAAATTCCGACGCTTTGGATTGGTTCATTGAATAATAATGGTTCTCTATTGAACTTTTCCATATATATATATATATATATATATATATATATATATATATATATATATATATATATATATATATATATATATATATATATATATATATATATATATAAAGGAAGAATCATTTGAGAACTTAAAGTTTCCCGGAGACCCGAAAACTAAAAGTGGAGCGTTAGATCAATTATTTGTATGGCTTAGATGATTAGTGGTAAAATTTGTAAATATTAATAAGTTTAGTGGCATATCAGATTTATTAAAAATATTCATGACGGTAAACTTCGTAGAAAAATGCTCTATCCTTAAGATCAGGTAACCCACAGATTACTCCCCTAAAACCATCGTCGTCCTCACCAACCCCCTTCTCTCTCACCTTGATATTCACCCTATTTCAGACTTTCTCTAATCCCTTGATTGCTTCTTTCTTTCACAACTTCATCGTTGATTATTTGATGAAATCCAACACCACCATCTGAAATCTATGGTCGTGTCCAGTAATCGTCACGCCATCAATCGATTACCTTCTTCATCGTCAATCTTTTATCTCCATCGACATCTCCATAGATTGAAATTGATTCTTCTCAAGTATATCTCAATCCATCGGTTGCATATCGTCGTTATAGTCACAATTTTCTATGACTGTAGCTCTGATTCATGTCTACTGATTATACAAACAAGTCGATTCATATTATACACCAGAAGTTTATGCCGATCAGATCAATTGCAATTTGTAACATCGAAAAGGTATAATTCATTGGTCCATCTCCATCTCTACTCAAGGTTTAACCGATTGTGAAATGTATTGTAACATTGATTATTTTTTTTAGTCGATTGTTAGTTTTTGATGTTAATGTATGATAATTATTCTCTATTCATCAATATTCTTCAATCGAGGGACACACAAGTTTCTCTTCTAGTTAAGTTCCTCATGCACACCATGTGTTTGTGTTTGTGTTTATGTTTATGTCCTAGTGAATTTATTTTGTTGTTATCATCATGTTTTTTATGTATACGAGAGTCAGTGACTTGCATATGTTTATTTACATACTTGAATTGAACCGAGTGCCATAAGCCCTATAAAACTCTGTTTCCCTACAAATCATACTTGTTAACCACATGACTCCTATCACCACTTTTTTTTATATATTTGGATAATCTACAGAGTTTAGCTATCATTTTTTAACCTTTTTGTATAATAATCTTTATGGTGCATAACAGGATGAGAGAAATCATTCTCATCACTGTATTTTGCACTTGCACTTCATGAGATGATAGAAGCTCCATTTCAGCTACGGATGAATTTGATGTGTTTATGGTGAAATTACTTTACATGAATAACTAGTTGTACCACATTAAATTTCTTTTAATAAAACACAATTAGTAGCTTGGTTTTAACTTTTAATGATCTTTATATTGCAGGATGTTGTGGGTACAAAAATAAGCTTGGACACGATTGTGGATTTTGCTTTGGCAATGGGACCACAGTGGACATTTATTACATCTCATGATATAAGGTCACCCACTAAATTCAAGTTTGTTTCTTTTTCGTTGTTTATTTACAAAAGAGATGTTTATAACATTTTATGACAAGTTCCGTAGTAAAGAAAAAAAAAGAATAGTGTTGTAACATTTTATTTAATTACTTGATATATATATATATATATATATATATATATATATATATATATATATATATATATATATATCATGGTAAAACATGATAAAGAAGCAACAAATGGCCGCCCCTCGCTCATAAACAAAGGTTTGCTTTGCTTTGCTTTGCTTTTGTTAATGCATTATGGTGTAATTTATAAAAATGGTTTTCTATTAAAAAAAAAAAAAAAAAAAACACTATTACATATCACTAGTGAATCACATATGAATTACATGTAATTCACATATAAATTACAAGTGAATTATATATAATTTATATGTGAATTATATATAAATTATATGTGAATCACATATGAATCACATATGAATTATATGTGATTCAAATTTAAAGCACATGTAATTCACATATGAATTATATGTGGTTCACATGTAAATCATATGTAATTCACATATAAATTACATGTGATTCACATGTAAATCACATATGAATTACATGTGATTCACATGTAAATCACATATGTATTTTTGTGAGTGTTTTTGCATCAATAAATTTCTTTTTATTTTTCTTATAGATTTGGAAGAAATTGTATTGAATATTGAAGATATGAAAAATGATAAATTGAAGAAAATATGGAAATATTAACACAAAGACATTAAAACGCTTTGAAATTTTGTAGCATTTTTTTGTTTTTGATATTTTATATTGTATCGAATAAAATATTTATTGTATTGTGCTTATAGATTAGTAAATAAAATGAGTTTTCTTATGATTGATTTACAAATATTATAATATATGAAATATGCATATATACACTTATAAAAATATGCAAAAATGTACCAAAAATATGCATATATACACCTAAAAAAATGCAGTTTTTTTTTTAAATGGTGTTTTTTTTTAAAAGTTGGTTTTTTAAAAAACTACAATTTTTTGAAATAGATGCATTTTTTTAAAAAAAAATTACAAGTTTTTTAAAAAATTTGTAGCTCTTTTTTTTTTTTTGAAAAGTTTGTAGTTTTAAAAAAAAAATGTTGTTTTTTTAAAAGGAAATACAATTTTTTTTTTTGAAAAAATTGCAGTTTTTTTTTTAAATTACAGTTTTTTTGAAAAAAAATCAGTATTCTTTTAAACAAAAAAAGATAATTTTTTTTAAATGCAATTTTTTTTTGAAAAATTTGCCATTTTTTATAATATTTTTCTTCATTTTTTTTATAAAAATCATGTTTTCGTAAAAAAAAAAACTAAAATATCTCCATTTAAAAAAAAATGAAAATCATTTTTTTTAGAAACCGAAATTTGAGGTATTATGTTAATTTTTAAAACTTTTTATTAATTTTTCCAATAACACAAAAAATTAAACATTAAATGAGCTTGGTAAGATAACGATCATGTCCTTAATGAA